ATATCTTTCACGAAAATCTTTGTACTGGAAGATTTGAAACTTTCCTGTGTGTTCCTTGAGGTTTCAACTATTGCTTCACTGTGATCCCTGATAATAATAATAATAATAATAATAATAATAATAATAATAATAATAACAATAATAACGACACACTACTGACAGCAGGGACATGTTTATGGCTACGTCACCTCCCAACCAACACCTGTTTACCGATACTTCCAAACATTCAAAGTCAAACATTTACCTTCTGGCTCACGTCTATGATCCCCAGGGAAGCTGTCAAGTCACGTACCTGTCAAGAAAATAAAACACAATTAATTAAAGTAGACGCGATACACCCACAATGACCGACAAAACTGGCAGTAGGAAATGAAGCCGTGGCATCAATCACACGCCAAAAGATAGCAAGAAAAAGCCTTACCAAGTCTCCCTAACAAAAATACAATTATATTACAAATGTTACAGAATTATTTAAACTACAAAATTAATCATCATCATCATCATCATAACTGTACTGCCATCACAATAGACATCACCACACAGTCATCACACCTTTCTCAGCCAGCATCTTTGTGTAAAAAAAAAAAAAAAAATCGTCTACCATCCAAAACATACAATACCATCTCTCTCTGTCCCTCGTGAAGACACCTGCCACCAGCATCCTCTCACACCTACACCTGGATCAATGGAGGTGTTGTCGTCTGAGAGGTATGTGTTAATTACGGAATATGGCGCCGTGTATGGCATTAATGAATAAACATCTAATTAATGAAGAGATTTCACACTCGGCTCTTCCCTTTCCTCTGCATGTCTTATTTCCGTGTGTTAACTTTAAGGGGTGAGGGGGAGGGAGGAGGGAGGTAGAACGAGGTGACTAAGAGGAAAGTTAAAAAGTGTGTGTGTGTGTGTGTGTGTGTGTGTGAGTCGTACCGCCGTAAAATGAGAAAACATGTGGCTTACTGACTCTCTTCCTCCTTCCTACACAAGTCTCTTCCGCTTTGTCCTCTTTAGGTAGGTATTTTGAACGTAAGAGACACAGGAACGTGATGATAAAAAAACCCTAGAATAATTCCTCTCTCTCTCTCTCTCTCTCTCTCTCTGTACCACCTTCACATCCGTTCTGCCGACTCATTTTTAATTTACCAAGAGCTCCTACAACCCTCCTTACCTGCCCCCTCCCCCCCTCCACCCCCATGTTCCTCTCAGCCATCTGGTGTTTTGACGGTGTGTTTGGGACCGTGTCGCTGTGACCAAGGTATTAGGCATTTTTCAAGTACGGCACTCCACATACCACGCATCTCTCTCTCTCTCTCTCTCTCTCTCTCTCTCTCTCTCTCTCTCTTTCTCTCTCTCTCTCTCACGGAAGTCTTTTCTTAGTATCCTGCGGAATCTTATGGCGATAACTAGTTTCTCGTACGATTATGTATACAACTACACTTTTGTGTGCTGTGGGGTTTATGTTTGTGAGTTGTGGAGGGTAGTTAGCTTTTTTTTTTAAACGGGGAATAGTCCACCCGGGCACAGGTCATCGACCCACAACGGGGCTTGAGGGCGAAAAAATAAGAGTAAAAAGAAATTAAAAATAAAAAAGAAAACGATTATATTAATCTACATCACGAAGATACCGGAAACCAGCTTTTTAAATTGAGACAGATTGTATTAGTATGGAAATACAGAAGAAGGCAGAGCATTTCACTGTTTGGCTGTGTGAGGAAAGAAGGAAGTACTATAACGGGTTATTCTAGTGTGACCGACATCCGCAGAAAAACGGTGGGCACCGCGGGCACCACGGCCTTGCCGGCGGTACGCAGGATGCCAAATCCACCGAACATTGCCCGTTAAAGTACCTGTAAAAGAGAGAGAGTGAAGCAACATTGCGGCGAAGAGAAAGGGAAGAAAGACTGTCAACTAAAGGAAGAGAGTTAATAAGACGAAATGCCTTTGATTCCACCCTATCTAAGAGGTGGACAGAAGAAGAGCCACCCCAGATATGAGAGCAGTACTCCAAGTTAAGACGAATGAAGCCCTTATATACTTGAAGCAACTGCTCAGGAGTGAAGTAGCTGCGGCATTTGTACAGCATTCCCAGCTTTCGGGAGGCAGCTTTAGCAATGTTGAGGATGTGTGGCTTCCATGACATATTAGAGGAAATGGTGAGGCCAAGCACATCTATTTTAGAATTTGGCAGAATGATAGCGTCCTGAGATGTGATTGGTGGGAGATCATATAATTTGGAAAATGTGATTAGTAAATACTGAGTTTTATTACTAATGAATTTGACCAAGTTTCTACCTCCCCACTCGGAGATGCTACACAGATCCGCATTGATAGATGTACTGATATCAGCTCTAGAAACAGATCTAGTTTGAGAATTTTGAGAATTAGGGGGAAGGGAAAAATGTGAAGAAGAGTGAAGAGTAGAATCATCAAGGTAAGAATGGCTAGAGGGAGGGAGGGAGGGAGGGAGGGAGGGAGAGGGAAAGTGAGTGGGAGGGGGGTAACTGAGGGAGGGAGAGGGTATGTGAGGGGGGGGAGGAGAGAAGTCCGCCCACACCGCGTCTGTTAAGTCTTTCCACTTGTATTAGCCGACTAACGTGCCCTCCTCTGAGAAATTATCCTCCCCGTCAACGGTGAGGTTCATTATCATCATTATCATTTCACGAAAGGAGGAAGAATGATTTTCCGACGGAGTTAGTTCCTCTCTCTCTCTCTCTCTCTCTTTGGTAGTTAGAAGGAAGAGGAGGAGGAGGAGGAGGACCAGGAGGACGAAGAAAACGAAGAGGAGGAAGAGGACGAAGAGGGGGAAAAGAAAGAGGAGTTGACGGCAGGGGGAGTAATTACAACATCCACTCCCTCCTCTTCCCCTGCTCCCTCCCCCCGCTCCCTCTCCCAGAAAAAAATAAAAGTGAATATGCAACAAATTCGTCAATCGAGAGAGAGAGAGAGAGAGAGGCATATTTTTTTTTTTATATATTCTTAGAAGTCATTAACTAGGAACACCTCTGAAGAACTATAGGGTACAGTCTTGCCAGTACGAGAGCATTAAGATGATGATGTCCTATAACCCTATCGTCATATAAAACTTGGTCCCTTATTCAGCAGTGTTATATGATCCTTTCTTCCGTGGAATCAAGAGGTGGTAGCTTTTGTGACTCTCTCTCTCTCTCTCTCTCTCTCTCTCAGCGGCCAGACCCTCTCATTCAGTACACGGCGTTGACTCTCATTATACAGAGGGTGGGAGGGACCAGTGGTGTGTGTGTGTGTGTGTGTGTGTGTGTGTGTGTGTGTGTGTGTGTGTGTGTGTGTGTGTGTGGTGTCCTGCTCTGAGGAATTCTTGGAAGAAGACAATGTTTGTGTTGTTTTAGAAAGAAAACTGTGTGTGTGTGTGTGTGTGTGTGTGTGTGTGTGTGTGTGTGTGTGTGTGTGTGTGTGTGTGTGTGTGTTTCATTTAAACTGTAATGTATTTTTCATGTGTACCTCTATTATTCTTTGTGTACAATTAAAATTAACCCCAGATCCTTCACACGGAGACGTACTGTACACGGTAGCATCTGGATCATACGGCTGGCAGTACCATCTCGGCTGAGGACCCGAATGCACAAAGTTCCCTACAGTATATTTTTTTTCTTTTACTTTATAATAAAACAACACATCTAGCTATGGCAGAGTCTCTGTCCAATTCTCATTCAATCTCACTCGCTATATTTGCGTTGTAGATTAAGTGATGGACGAATCATAAAGAGTTCTCACATCTCCAATCAGAGGAGAGAATTTAACGTACGAATGTTTGAGACTGAGTCCACGGCAGGACGGTGGTGCCCCTGACGGCCGCCTCCACCATATCTCACCAACTTTCCTCTTATCTTAGGAGGGCAGCGGCAGCTCCTCTCCTTCAATCCCCAATTTTTTGTGAGATTTTTATGTTTTTTTCGCGAGTTTGAGGCGTTTGATTGTTGCTTGCCGGGGGTGTGGGAGGGGGCGTAATAGAGCCATCATTTTTCTTGAGGGGGAGAAGTTGTAAGACCCATGAGGTTCACCATAGTTGTTATTTTTAGTTCAACTACTGATGTGTGTGTGTGTGTGTGTGTGTGTGTGTGTGCCAGCTCATCCTCTTGTTCACAATAAGTCACATGATCAGTCTGGCTCTCACAAGATCACCCAAGACCTCACTACGTCAACACTATTAGTTATCACAAGGTAAACAATGCCTCCAGAAGACTTAAACACAAGCAGTAAACCAGATTTTCCGATATAAACCAGATTTTCCGATATAAACCAGACTTTCCGATATAAAGCAAAGAACTTAAGGCCGACATACACAAGGAAGGATCGCTAGACTCTTGATTCACACACAAGAGAACAAAATGAACATTATTTCTACCCGTTCTCGGATTATCTAAACGTACAGCCCCGCACAATACTCTTAGGACAATAGTATTTTGTACAGATAGCGACACCCGGTCTTCGCTGTGGGGTGTACTACAAATTGACAGTTCCTGCAACACACACCAGATTCTTACCCTCCTACACCTGTTGTAAAGGCGAATACACTTTACACCCAAACACATTATTAATAAATGAATAACAAAATTATATATACTCCATTACATAATATAATCAAGCATTACAAACACATACAAATACAGTAAAAAATACGTCAATAAAAATAGGCCGATTCATTAAAAAGAATAATAACAAATAGCTCTGTATAAAAATGGTATATACTCACTACAAATACACAACAATACAAACAAGAAACAAATACAAATTACAGGAAAGTTATGAAAATTAAACACACATTATACACTACCCGGAAATGTGGAAATAGGAATAAATAAAAAATCTAGTTTGTTCACTTCAATAATTTGTTGTGGTGAGGTCATTAAGTGGAGCTGAGAGGCCATGACTAAGTGGAGATGAGAGGTCATTAAGTGGAGCTGAGAGGCCATGACTAAGTGAAGCTGAAAGGGCATGACTAAGTGAAGCTGAAAGGGCATGACTAAGTGAAGCTGAGAGGGCATGACTAAGTGGAGATGAGAGGTCATTAAGTGGAGCTGAGAGGCCATGAATAAGTGAAGCTGAGAGGCCATGACTAAGTCGAGCTGAGAGGTCATTAAGTGAAGCTGAGAGGGCATGACTAAGTGGAGATGAGAGGTCATTAAGTGGAGCTGAGAGGCCATGACTAAGTGAAGCTGAAAGGGCATGACTAAGTGAAGCTGAAAGGGCATGACTAAGTGAAGCTGAGAGGGCATGACTAAGTGGAGATGAGAGGTCATTAAGTGGAGCTGAGAGGCCATGACTAAGTGAAGCTGAGAGGCCATGACTAAGTCGAGCTGAGAGGTCATTAAGTGAAGCTGAGAGGGCATGACTAAGTGGAGATGAGAGGTCATTAAGTGGAGCTGAGAGGCCATGACTAAGTGAAGCTGAAAGGGCATGACTAAGTGAAGCTGAGAGGGCATAACTAAGTGGAGATGAGAGGTCATTAAGTGGAGCTGAGAGGCCATGACTAAGTGAAGCTGAGAGGCCATGACTAAGTCGAGCTGAGAGGTCATTAAGCGGAGCTGAGAGGCCATGACTAAGTGGAGATGAGAGGTCGTGGGAGTGGGCTGAGGCCATGACTAGGAGAAGCTGAGAGGCCATGGCTAAGTGAAGCTGAGAGGCCATGACTAAGTATAGGAGTGGAATGAGAGGTCATTGTTAAGTGGAGCTGAGAGGCCATGACTAGGAGTGGAGATGAGAGGTCATTAAGTGGAGCTGAGAGGCCATGACAAGTGAAGTTGAGGAGGCCATGGTAAGTGGAGATGAGAGGTCATTAAGTGAAGCTGAGAGGCCATGTGACTAAATGGAGTGAGGGGGTCATTAGAATTGGAGCTGAGGCCATGACTAGAGTGAAGCTGAGAGGCCATGACTAAGTGGAGATGAGAGGTCATTAAGTGGAGCTGAGAGGTACTTGAGGCTAAGTGAAGCTGAGAGGCCATGACTAAAGAGGTGGAGATGGTCATTAAGTGAAGCTGAGGCCATGACTAGGAGTGGAGATGAGAGGTCATTAAGTGGAGCTGAGAGGCCATGACTAAGTGGAGATGAGAGGTCATTAAGTGGAGCTGAGAGGCCATGACTAAGTGAAGCTGAGAGGCCATGACTAAGTGGAGATGAGAGGTCATTAAGTGGAGCTGAAAGGCCATGACTAATTAAAGCTAAGAGGTCATTAAGTGGAGCTGAGAGGCCATGACTAAGTGAAGCTGAGAGGCCATGACTAAGTGAAGCTGAGAGGGCATGACTAAGTGGAGCTGAGATTAAAGATCGTACGAGTTAAAGCGCCGAAATAAATTGGAAGAACAACAACAATAACAAAACCATCAGTGAATTTACAACAACACAACAACAATAACAACAACAGAACAATAACACAACAACAACAAAACAATAACACAACAACAGAACAACAACACAACAACAGAACAATAACACAACAACAGCAGAACAATAACACAACAACACAAACCTGCATTATTGACAAAAGCATCTTACTTGAGAAGAACCAATACACAGGATGAGAAAACCCAATCCACCAATAGGAAAGCCTGATAGAAAACTCACCAGTTCCCACGAGGCACGGGACAGACGACCACTTTGATCAATTATGTCAAAAGACGCTCGCTAATTGGCCGGCGGGTAGCCAGCTCGACCAATTAGTGGGGCGTTTCTGATGTCATTCATCATACAGTGAATATTTCTGGATTGGGGATTCGTGTTTCATTCACTCCGTTTACCTGGTGGTGGTTCTTCTGCCTTGGGTAGACGCAATACCTTTATATATATATATATATCCTCAAGCACACTCAAGCACACCTGTAATTTAAGAGATGGGAATAAGGTAAAAAAAAAAGGCCTTAACAACATACATAGAGGTGTTTACCATTCTGCCACGAGAACGTGTACCCCCCCCCCACCACCCTTACTGGTATCTGTCAAATTTTAACCCACCCTTACTGGTATCTGTCAATTTATAACCCACCTTACCTATGCCCGTCAATTTTTAACTCACCCTTACCTGTATCAGTCGATTTTTAACCCACCCTTACCTGTATCCGTCAAGTTTTAACCCACCTTTACCTGTATCCGTCAATTTTTTACCCACCTTTACCTGAATCCGTCAATTTTTAACCCACCCTTACCTGTATCTGGAAATTTTTAACCCACCTTTACCTGTATCCGTCAATTTTTAACCCACCTTTACCTGAATCCGTCAATTTTTAACCCACCTTACCTGTATCCGTCAATTTTTAACCCACCCTTACCTGTATCTGCAAATTTTTAATCCACCTTACCTGAATCCGTCAATTTTTAACCCACCTTACCTGTATCTGCAAATTTTTAATCCACCTTACCTGTATCCGTCAATTTTTAACCCACCTTTACCTGTATCTGTATGTATATTCTGTATGCTGTATTTATATTATGCTATGTATATTATGTATGTGCTCCATTTATGTACTATTTATTCAGCCTAGCTAGTAGCGTGTGGCAATATATTTAAGATGTCCCACATGCCTAATTAATGTGCCTGGCGACGTATGGAAGCTGTTAATGTCTCACTTGCCATACGTCGTCTATAGAGCAGTTGACAAGCAGACAGGTCGGAGAGCACTACTCCCTTTGTGTACATATCTCTTATCCAGTAAATCGAACCTACAAAATCTATACAGGTGTTTGTGTTCGCTCCTGTATATTGAACTTATTACCCAGAACATTGAACATGGCGCAGTGTGTACTTTTACTGGATAATTACGAGTGACAGTGCAAAGTTTGTGGAAAGCCGGCTTATGGACCCCTTGCCCTGTGTCAACCGCCGCCCGCCAACCCTCCTCGAAGAATTTAGCAACTTTGAGCAGTGTCAGTGACAGTGATTTTCTGTGAAGTGTTTAGTGCCATTCATGTGTGACCTTGTTCTAAAGGATTCCCAAGGTACACGGCATGTTCTGGGCATTTGTAAGGAGTAGACTTGAGTACACCTCCCCTCGCGAAGCCTGGAGGGTAACTGACGCTCCTCGCCGTCTCCACCCCCCCTCACAGCGTCGTCTCCACACCCCTTCACAGCTCGAGGAGACCGCTCTCACTGCCCGGGACACACACACACGTACACACTCACTGACCGCGGCGGCTCCCTTATATATATTTTATATATATAACCTACTTATCTGTGTATTTAATTAATTTTTTGTCTGAAATCTTGTTGATACGACGGGCTGACCGGTCAACACTGATTTAAGACACGGTACACAGATGAAGTAGTTATGTCTCATGCCTTACGTAGCCGTGGACCCAGCGTCCGGATGAGTCAGTCGGATGATAGCTCCGCAGAGATGGATGACCAGGCTGACCATGACGCTCCAGCTCCCACAACATCGCGCAGCCCTTCACCTCCATATTCAGCGTTGTCTCCAGAGATAATTGCTTTAATGAAGTTTATGAGAGATGAAAGGCGCGAGGATGAAGCTAACAGACGTGCGGCAGACGAACGCAGAAGACAAGCAGAGGCAGAGACGAGACCACCAACGGAGATTGGAAGACAGTGCACGGTTTGAAGCTTTGATATCTCGCCTCACTGTTAACCAAGCCCCTGGCTCTAACACTGCCTCGGTACTGACTGGTTCAGATACCTCATCAATGCTTCCTTCACGCCCCCCAGCCCCACCTAAAGCAGCTGCTCAAACACCGCCCATCTTGAAGCCTGATGTGACTTTCCAGACTTTTCGTGAATGGCGGCGACGGTGGACTGATTATTCTACAATGGTGGATCTCCAGAGTTTGTCACAGCCTAAACAACTCATCCAGCTGCGTATGTGCCTGTCCTTGGAAATTCAGCGTGTCTTAGAACATACGCTGCAGGTACCTCCGACCTCTTCGCTGTCTGTAGAGGAGGTACTGGACATTCTACAACGGCACATCAAAGGACAGCAGAATGAAGCTCTGCGCAGGAGGGAATTGTTTAGCTGCAGACAGATGGAGGGTGAGACTTTTGACGCCTTTTATGTACGTCTTAAGAGAGCCTCGGAAGAGGTAGATATATGTCTAGGCCACCACCAGCAGTGCGAGGAGACCCAGTTGAAGCAGGTGATCCTGATGGGTGTTAAGGACGAGGAACTTGTCCAACGCCTCACCTCCCTCGACTCTTCCTCTTCTCTCAGGATGTGTTGACGATATGTCGCTCCTATGAGGCTGCCAGGTGTGCCACCTCTGCCATCCGAGCTCCCCCTACAGCTGTACGCGCTGTGTCCCGGTACAAGAAGGACAAGAAGTCTGCTCCTACGCCTTCGCCCACCACGTCCACGCCCGGTTCATTTTGTAACAACTGTGGTAAGCAGCACGGAACACAGGTGTGTCCAGCTGCTGAGTCTACATGCAACAGTTGTGACCGTAAGGGCCACTGGTCACTCACAGTACGGTGCCCAGCTAAACGCGTCCAGTGCAACGTGTGCGGTCGTCTGGGCCACTATGACAAGTGTTGCCCTACCAACAAACCCAAGGGACAGCGTCGGCGGAAGCTTCAGCTCCCTTCCACCAGAGAGGGCCGCCCACAGTCTTCCAATCAGAAGCATGACGACCCTGGGCAACGCTCGAGCCATATTAGGAATGTGTGTTCCCCCCCGCGTCCCAGGACTAAAGTCCCCCAGTACATCAGTGTCATTGTGACCTACCGCAGTGTGTCATCCCGTCTTCAGATGTTGCCCGACACCGGCGCTGATGCTACAGTCATCGGTCCCCAGCATTTGCAATGTTTGGGGCTCTCTCCAAGTGATCTAGGACCGCCCCCCAAGGATCTCCGCTTTATGGCAGATGGTTCACAGATGACCCCGGCCCTGGGTTCACTCCAAGCACAAGTCACCTTTGGCAACAGGTCGTGTCAAGCCTGGATTGATGTGCATAACGGTGTCCCGACTCCTTTGCTGTCCTACAGACATTGTCAAGAGTTGGCCATCATCTCCCAGGACTTCCCCAAACCTATTCTTGAGGTAAAACACGCCAACAGGGTGCAAAAAGGGAGCAGCAACGACCCTGCTGCCGCCCTACCCCTGCCTCTTGCCAGTGACACCTCTCCTTCGGATGCTCGGAAGTACTTCCTGAAGGAATTCAGCGACGTTCTGGTGACCAAGTCCGCTCTGGAATCCAAGCCTCTCAAGAAGATGGCAGGTCCCCCCATGAGGATCCACCTGAGGGACGACGCGAAGCCCTTCGCTATTTACACCCCTCGACTGGTTCCCCTGGCCTTCCGCGAGGCGGTCAAAAACGAGCTGGACTCCATGGTCGCCCAAGAAATTATTGCACCAACCGGCGATGACCCGTCTCCATGGTGTCACCCTATGGTTGTCGTCGCAAAACCTAAAGGTGGTGTTCGGATCACCACTGACCTCTCCAAGCTCAACAGCCAGGTGTCTCGTCCTGCGCACCCTTCTCCCACGCCCTTTGCAGCTATACGCAGTGTGAACCCGAAGGCGCGCTTCTTCACGACGATGGACGCCTTGTGTGGATACTGGCAGATAGAGCTTGCCGAAGAAGACCGACCACTCACAACTTTCATCACCCCGCATGGACGTTACAGTTATTGCCGTGGCCCCATGGGATTCGCCGCTACAGGAGACGCTTTCTGTCTTCGAGGTGATATG